ATTATTTTATTTATTTATTTAACAAATATTTATTAGAATCTACTATAAAACACATTCGTTTTGATATTGAGAGCCATGGAAACAAAACAGATAAAGCCACTGCTCTCATAGATTTTAAATATTAGGTGGGAGAGACAGATAAACAAATGAACAAACTAATATGTACAATAGGTGAGGTTTGATAAGGACTGTGAAGACAGATATATGGTGAGAGCATGGTTTCCTGGGTGAGTGGAAAGTGACTATTTTTTAAGGAGGTCAAGGAAGGACTCTATGACAGAGTAACATTTAAGCAAAGACCTAAAGGAGTGATGGGACATTGCACACAGGGAGCAACAAGTGCAGAGTCCCCGAGGCCAGGGGCATGCTTGTAGTGGTGAAGGAATAGCAAGGAAATCAGTGAGAATGAAGTGGGTGAAAGACTAGGAGTGTGACAAAAGATAATATACCTCAACTGAAGTAACAATGAAAATGGGCAGCGCTAACATTTTCAAAGCATGTGCAGAGAGAAAATGTATAACACTATTGATANTGGATATCCATATATAGAAGAATGAAACTAGATCCATACTTGCCACTGTATAACAAAATCAAATCAAAATGGATTAAAGACTTAAATATAAGACCTGAAATTATTAATCTCCTGAAAGAAAACAGAGGAAACACTCAAGCTCATAGGGCTTAAATGTTCATCAATGGACGACTGGATAAGGAAAATGTGCTATGTATACACAATGGAATACTACTCAGCCACAATAAAGAATGAAATTCTGCCTGTTGCAGCAACATGGATGAACTTGGGGAAAATTACATTAAATGAAATAAGCCAGGCACAGAAAGAGAAATACCACATGTCCTCACTCATAAGTTAGAGCTAGGAAAGTAAGACCATAATAAAATGTTGAACTTTCAGAGGAGAGAACAAACCTATAGCTACCAGAGGTAGGAAGGTGGGGCGGGGGGGAGAGATAGGAAGTAATTGGGTAAGGACACAAAGAAAAATTTTGTTTTGTAATGATGAATATACTAATAATCCTGATTATATCATCATATATTATACACAAACACTGAGTCAACTATATACCCCACAAATATGTATAATCAATTACATTTCAAAAAACAATTTAAACAAAGCAGAAAATTAGTATGTCTCTTGAATACTCTAGAAATGTCTCTAGAAGAAGGTTTATACTATGGGTGAAACACTATAATCAATGTTTCTAAGATTCAATGTATTGATGCAATAGAATTCTGAGCTTAATTATTTTATTTATTTATTTAACAAATATTTATTAGAATCTACTATAAAACACATTCGTTTAGATATTGAGAGCCATGGAAACAAAACAGATAAAGCCACTGCTCTCATAGATTTTAAACTGTAGGTGGGAGAGACAGATAAACAAATGAACAAACTAATATGTACAATAGGTGAGGTTTGATAAGGACTGTGAAGACAGATGTATGGTGAGAGCATGTTTTCCTGGGTGAGTGGAAAGTGACTATTTTTTTAAGGAGGTCAAGGAAGGACTCTATGACAGAGTAACATTTAAGCAAAGACCTAAAGGAGTGATGGGACATTGCACACAGGGAGCAACAAGTGCAGAGTCCCCGAGGCCAGGGGCATGCTTGTAGTGGTGAAGGAATAGCAAGGAAATCAGTGAGAATGAAGAGAGGTGAAAGACTAAGAGTGTGACAAAAGATAATATACCTCAACTGAAGTAACAATGACAATGGGCAGCGCTAACATTTTCAAAGCATGTGCAGAGAGAAAATGTATAACACTATTGATATCTCAGTGAATTTTTAAATAGTGTGAAAATGGCTTTTATTGTATTAAGATATTTTCCTTCCATACCTAATTTGTTGAGAGTCTTTATCATGAAGGGATGTTGAATTTTGTCAAACGGTTTTTCCACATCTATTGAGATTATCATATGGTCTTCGTCCTTGAGCTTGTTGATGGGATGTATCACATTTACTCACTTTTGTATGTTAAACCATCCTTGCAACCGTGGGATGAATCCCACCTGATCATAGCGTATAATTTTTTAAAATATGTTGCTGTATTCTGATTGCTAATATTTTGTTGAGGATTTTAGCATCTAGGTTCATCAAGGATATTGACCTATAATTTTCTTTTTTTGTTGTGTCTTTATCTGGTTTTGGTATCAGAGTTATGTTGGCCTCATAGCATGAGTTTGGGAGAATAGCGTCTGTTTCAATTGTCTGGAACAGTTTCATGAGGATTGGAATTAATTTTGCTTTAAAAGTTTGATAGAATTCAGCTGTGAAGCCATCTGCAGTTGGACTTTTTTCATTGGAAGATTGCTAATTACTGCTTCAATCTCCTTGCTTGTTATTGGTCTGTTCACGTTTTCTATCTCTTCTTGGTTCAGTCTTGGTAGTTTATATGTGTCTAGAAACTTATCCATATCTTCCAGATTTTCAAATTTATTGTCATACAGTTGTTTATAATAGTCTCTAATGATTCTTTGTATTTCTGTGGTGTCAGTTGTAATGTCTCCCTTTTCATTTCTAATTTTTGTTATTTGGGTTCAGTTGCTTTAAAAGTTTGATAGAATTCAGCTGTGAAGCCATCTGCAGTTGGACTTTTTTCATTGGAAGATTGCTAATTACTGCTTCAATCTCCTTGCTTGTTATTGGTCTGTTCACGTTTTCTATCTCTTCTTGGTTCAGTCTTGGTAGTTTATATGTGTCTAGAAACTTATCCATATCTTCCAGATTTTCAAATTTATTGTCATACAGTTGTTTATAATAGTCTCTAATGATTCTTTGTATTTCTGTGGTGTCAGTTGTAATGTCTCCCTTTTCATTTCTAATTTTTGTTATTTGGGTCATCTCTCTTGTTTTGTTAATCTAGCTAATGGTGTGTCTATTTTATCTTCTCGAAAAAACAACTTTTAGCTTTGTTGATCTTTTCTATTGTTTTTTTGGTCTCTATTTCATTTAGTTTTGCTCTGATCTTAATTATTTCTTTCCGTCTACTGCCTTTAGTTTGGATTGTTGTTGTTTTTCAAGTTCTTTGAGGCATAGTGTTAGGTAGTTTGTTTGAAGTCTTTCCATTTTTTTGACATAAGCATTTACTGCAATAAATTTGCCTCTTAGCACTGCTTTTGCAGTATGCCAGAGGTTTTGGTATGATGTATCTTTATTTTCATCAGTAATAAAATAAAATAAAATAAAATAGTGTAGAAGTTGATAGTCATATATGAACATATTGAAAAATGCTCTTATTTTTCCTCCATTTTCTTGTATTTTGGCTATTTCATCCTTTTGAAAATTGTAATATGAGAACGTTGTTTATATAGAATGACTCAGTCAGGACAGAAATATTATTCATTTATGATGGTGTATTTATGTATTACTACATAAAATGTGCCAACAAAAAGGCAAATAAATTCATTAGAACTCTAGGAACAATTGTTTAACTAAAGAAATTAACACTATTAGACAGAAATTATATTCTAATACCTCAGTTAATTACCTAAATTATTGTTTATCAAAAATTAGCCACATTCCATTTAAATGTGGCAAATTTCCCACTCCTTATGTATGTGCCCACAAGGGATATGTGTAGGAATATGTTCATGGTTCTATTTATGCTCCTGTTTTTCATGTATGTTTCTACTGGTATGTGGTAAAGGAAATGCATGTAGAATGAATATATTAATCAAACATGCTTAATAAGGTTTTTGCCATGTAGGACCCAAGATATCTTATGATTTCTCTTAGCTTCCTCATTCAGGTATTCTGTTTCTGAACATATTGCTCCTTCTTTCTGGACAACAGACTTTTGAAGAGGTAAGGTTATCACTTTATAAACTTAACTTTCATGTGGGTCTTAGTATGTGATTCAGGACATGGAGAAGATCTGAGAGAAATGAAACTAGGTTACTGTGCATCCTATGAGGTTAAAATCAGAATCCTGACGATAGTTTTGCTGCCAAAACAACCCTCTTGAATGCACTGTTGACATCCTTGTTCCTCAGGCTGTAAACCACAGGATTTAGCATGGGGATGACCATACTATAGAACACAGCTGCAATTTTGTCTGTGTCCATGTAGTGATTGGAGCTGGGTTGTACGTACATAAAGATAACAGTTCCATAGAAAATGAGGACTGCAGTGAGGTGGGAGGCACAGGTGGACAGAGCCTTCTTGTATCCTGCAGCTGAGTGCATCTTTAGGATGGTGGTAAATATAAATAGGTAAGATATCAAGATAACTAGGAGGGCAAAAAAGATATTGATGCTGACTACATAAACAAGAATCAGCTCATTAACACGTCTGTCAGAGCAAGACAGAGCCATGAGTGCTGGGACATCACAGAAAAAGTGATGGATCACATTGGACATACAGAAAGAGAGACTGAATGTTTCCCCCATGTGGATGAGGGCATTCAAGAAGCCACCGACATAGCAGCCTGTGGTCAGACATGCACACACATTAGTAGTCATGATGGTGCTGTAATGCAGGGGCTTGCACACTGCTGCATAGCGGTCATAAGCCATTGAGGCTAAGAGTAAATTTTCCACACTGGCGAAGGCTCCAAAAAAGAATGCCTGAGCAGCACAATCATTGTAGAAAATGACCTTGTTTCCTTTAAGCCCAGTCATGACCATGGGAGTGACAGCTGAAGAGTAACAGATGTCCACCAGAGACAAATTACCAAGAAAAAAGTACATGGGAGTGTGGAGACGACAGTCCCAGAGAATCAAAATGATCACACCCAGATTTCCAAGCACATCAATGAGGTAGATGACAGTGAAAGTGATGAAGAGGGGAACTTGTAGTTCTGGAGCATTGGTTAGTCCTAGGAGGATGAACTGTGTCACTTCTGTCCTGTTCTCCATCGATGTTATTTGGGAAGCAGAAAATGCCCTTTAGCAAAGAGAAGTAAAGGACAAGAATGTTATTAGATGCTGTGGAATAGATATTGCGCTGAAATTGAAATGTTCATATACCATGTGTGTTATTTTATTGTAGCAATAATACATGCTTCAAGATATTCTGTATCTACACACGAGCTTATCCAGAAAATTTAGTACATTAGTTATACATAGACTTAGAAACTGTTGAAATGGAAAGATCTTCATGGGTTATCTCCTCAGTTTCCAAATTTCGTACAATTGTAAACTAATATTTGGAAAATTTTATGCATTATTCAACATGACATATCTGGAATTATATATTGGTGTATATACATACATGTGATATATATATAATATCTAACTCAATGGGTGTGTGTGTGTGTGTGTGTAGATGCATATATATATTTCTCCTGGGAGGATACACACATTGAGTTAGATATCATTACTATGTGGTTCGCCTGGCAGGATTACTCTAGATACTTTACATTTATTTATATTGATTAATTGTATGTTTATTGATTCATTGTATGTTTATTGATTCATTGGTTTCTTTCAACCATATTATGAGTTTGATTTGATCAGTAGTTACTTTCATTTACATTGTGAGGCAGAAGAGGTGGAGTAATTTATCAGGTTTACAAAAGTGGTTTTTTTTGTTTTGTTTTAGTTTTATACAGTGTTAATAGCAACCCAAGGTATGGTCACAGGCAGAACGGTTCTCAAGTACCATTGTATATACATCAAATTGTTTTAACTCATTGTTTCCACTGGTCTTTATTTACTGCTTGGGTTTCACAGTGAAGTACCTGACAGATTGATGCCCTAGGACAATGGGGCAATAGAGGCACGTATAACCAGCAAAGGCAATTCCAAGGGGAAGGCAGTATCAGATACAGAGCTTGGGCTCTGTGAAGAGTGCCTATTGGCCCTACCATTTACTCTCTATAAATCACTTGTTCTGGCCTAACTCCCCAGAACCTTATTTTCTCTATCTGCAAAATGAGGATAGTGATAATATCTAACTCAAGGTATTATTGTGAAATTAAACATGATAATGCATAAAAATCAGTGCTTAAATGCTGGGTGGTTAGCCAACCTTTTGTGTGCTAGCTATAATGTTATGGTTAGGATGGGATAATGAACTCTATGTTGGTTTAGGAAAAGTAGATGGTAACATGCAAGGCTTCAAGTGTGGGTGATTTTTTGGTCTTGTAGCCTCCTTCTTCAGTTTGCTTTTATTCTCATAGCATCACTGGAATTTTCTGTGCTATCCTGTATTTGTTTTCTGTAATTGCTGCACCCAAGTGCTTGGCCACTCTACCTCTTCCAGGTAGCCATTTGTTGTTTAATTTCTTCCTTGCAATCCATATTTTAGCTTGCATTGAAAGAGTCTCCTTTTCTAACACTCATTCTCTCAGTTGTGTCATTCCATACTTGAATCACAGACGTCGAGGGTTGAAAGCTTGTAGTTTGTGGTTGACTTAAGTCTGCAGATCTGTTTTGTGGCAAAGTCCGTGTTGTAGCATATTTCATTTGAGTCTGTTCTTGCATAGGAACAATCTTTTAATTATTTTTATTTGAATGTAAAGTTTTGGGAAGTGTACACATCCAATGTTAACTACTATTCCCTACCAACTTCCTCATTAACCTTTGGCCACTTCACTTTATAAGCCAATTTTTTGAAGGCATTATGTTTCACAGCCTTAACCCGCATGACCACTTTTAGCATCTACTATGTTCTACAGCCAATAATACTAACTTTATATGTAAATGGGTGTGTGTGTGTGAGTCTGTGTGCATGTTAGATGTGCACTTGTTTATTTAATACTTATTTTATTATATTATTTATTTATTTATTTATTTTATAATTTATTGTACATACATGTGGGGTACAACATTGATTTTCAATAATTGTGTACAACGTGTGGTGGTTAGATCAGGATAGTTAGCTTATTCATCATTACACTATGCAATCATTCTTTGTGTCCATTGACCAATTCCTCATTAACCCCTCCACCCTCACCTTTTCCACCTCTAGTTCTCTAAAAGTTCAACATATTACTGTGATTATTCTTTCTTTCTCTCTGTCTCTCTTTACTGTTCATTTATTTATGGATTCAGTTCACAGTTATGAGTGAGAATATGTGGTATTCCTCTTTCTGTACCTGGGTTGTTTCACTTAGAATAATTTTCTCCAGGCTCATCCATGTTGCTGCAAATGGTAGAATTTCATTCTTTTGTATGGCTGAGAAGTATTCCACTGTGTATATATACCACAATTTCCTTATCCAGTCATCCATCAATGGACATTTAGGTGTAAGGTAGGTAGTAGTATTATTTTTATTTTCTCATTAAGGCAAATGAAAATTGGTGAAATTTTGTGATGCTCCATAGGTATGTAACTAGTATGAGCAGGATTCAAGATTCAAGCCCAGTTTGAACCTAATCAGCAGCCTTTGTTTTTTGCTACATCACTGTCAATGTGTATAGATGTGCCAGGAACAATAAAGATAAAATTATGAAAAAAAAGTTAAAGTGAAGTTTGGATCTTGCTAATTCTCTTCTTTCCATTTTGTGTTTTTTTTCTTTACCTAAGTGAGAAACTCACATATAGTGAACAAAGTGAAATAACCACCTAATCAATCAGAGCATCACTTGTATTACTGTTTTTGAGTAATCATTTTTAAGGGAGCGGCTTGATGATGTTTCCTAAGTATCATCTCTCTACTGACGGAAATTTTGAAATTCATACTCCTGCTCCAGCTCATTTTTAAAGAAAAATGTTGACAACATCTATTTCTGTGCTCAATAAATCATGAGTTACTGTTGCCCCACTGCTTTTGCATAAATTTTACTTTTCACTAAAAGCGTATATTGAGTATGGTAGCTTACCTTGCTCCTTGTAAACAAGTGACAGTCAGTCTTTAATAGTGAGTATGAAACCAGAAATTCAGCCATGGATTAATGCATATATTCTGTCAGAGAAACTCTCGCTCAGGTAGTGGTCAGTGGTCCGGAGGTCTCTAAGGCAGGAAGGAATAGAGGAAAGGGTGTTAACATGGGCTCAAGTCCTGAATCTACCATCCATTCTTTCCATCCCTTGGAGGAGTCACTTGTCTTCTCCTTAATTGTAAAATAAACATAGTCAAATTAGCTCTTCCACATAATTCAAAGAATTGTGTTTGTAAATAGTGAATAAGGGATTGTCTAAAAACCACTCACTAAGGGGTTATCATTTTAAAGTCCCTCAATATAATTTTTATGTTGAGATGTTATCTTGGCCATGGCTGCAGGACCATAGCAAATCCTAAAACCAGGAGAAGGCTTGTGTGTATGAAAAACCATTAACATTCCTATGCAACAAATGATGATCACAGCGGCTGAGATTGAATTCTGGTCCCTCTAAAATGCAGTCACCTAGAGTCATGATGGCTTTCAGAAGCTCATGCAAGGGTAGAGGGGATAATTATAGAGACAGGGATCTCTCTGGAGACCCCCTCCCCGCCATGAGAACATCCTCTTCCCACTTTCCTAGGGAAGAAACAATTAAATTACCTGTGGGGACCAAATAGGATATTTTGAGTGTGCACATATGTTTTTGAATTACTTGTTATTCACATTTCTTTTTCATTTTAATTAGTATATGTTACAAACAATGATATGCACACTTTTTAGTGTTTCTTTCTAAGAATTTTGTTAAATATATAGCCATGTAAACATTAACATCATCACCTAAGCTAATTCCCCAAGCTTCTTTGTAGTCAACCCCATCTTTCATCTACTGTTCCTGGCAACCACTATACTATTTTTGTTCATATAATTTTGCCACGGCAAGAGTGTTCTTAACTAGAATCCTAGAAGATGTTGTCTTTGGTTCAGGCAACTTTCACTTAACGTAATTCAGTTGAGGCCCATCATTTCTCTTATCTCTGTCTGTAGTTGAATTTTATTTTTATTGTGGTGTAGTACTTAGTAATGTGAACGTTACACTTTTTTTTCACTCCCCAGTTGATGGCCATTTGCATTGTTGCCAGTGACTGTTGATTATGAATAAAGCTGATCTAAACATTGGTTAATGTTTTTGTGTGAACATAGATTTTTACTTTATTTGGCTAAACACCTAAATGTGGTATTTCTTGGTCACATAATAATTATGCTTAATAGAATAGAAACTATTCTACGAATAGAAGAGAATAATAATAGAAGATGTTTCTGGAAATGGTTGTATCATTTTTCATTGCCAAGAGCAATACATTCCAATTTCTTCACATTTTTTCCATCACTTGATATTTTAAGGTATTTTATTTTTACATTAAATTAAATTAAATTTTTATTTTTGCTCTTTCTCAAAGATGCTTCAACAGTCTTCTCAGCAAAATGAAGATGCCCACTTAACTTATCACCACATTTGTGGCCTGGGGACATTTTATTTCCCATAAATGGAATAAATCCATTTTTTTTAATGTAGTCTACTCTGATCCCTCACTCACTAGCAGACTTTTCACACCTTTCTCATAGCAGGCCTGTGTAATGATCACAAGTTTGTTTTGTGTGTTAATGTGGCTCTGCCTCCAATTGGGTAAGTAATTTAACATCAAATTTCAGCTTCTTATCTGTAACGAAGGAGATAATATTGTTTCATCCTTATGACATTGTCAAGAAGATTATCAGATCACATATATACAATGCAGAGAACACTTTATAGCACATATAAAGTGTTCCATAAGGTTATTAATATTAATAATAATATTATATTATTTATAAACATATAGCATAGGTCACAAAAATAGTCATGCTCAATTATTTCACCTGCTTCCCTACATGTGCCTGTCCCATTGCAGCTAGGCTAAAACATGTACTAGTTGTAGATGAGGTAGGAAGAATCAATATGTGTCATTTCTAAATGGATGGAAGCATACACATTACCCTCCAGTTGTCTCTCTCCTGCTATGATGATTGAGGAGATTTCATATTTCAGCAGG